TTCCAAGTCGCTAGGTTGCTACATACTTGCCATTAGTTCTACGACGCGCGTTTTCTTGAAATGTCGAGTCACCGACCCGTCTATCCCCTATTCTCCCGTCGCACATTATGAAGGCATTCTTACATTTGCTAACCTTGTGGTAACTTTCGCGTCGTGAACTGCGACGAGCCCGCCGGGAAAATCGAATCAGGAGTTGCTATATAATAAGAAAGCTGATGTCGCAATCATGGTTAGAAGTAGTTTGAACGGGTTTTTAGTAGACTGATGTCTGTTTGCGGTGTTTTTTTTACTTTGCCTAAACCCGTCCCTCCATTCTTGTACATTGAATTCATTTCTCTTTTCTTGTTCCTTAATCGTGCTGTAGCACATTTTTTCGATTTAAAGACTTGATTTCCGTTTAAATATTGTCAATCAACTTATGGCATTCACAGATACGGGAAGTCTCCAAGTATGACTTGCTGAAGGGATCTCGTGTTGTGTTTCCGGCGCCTCCGAGATGTATTGGAAGGAAACCGATGCAATACGTTCAGGTTTCTTTACTATCCATTTGGAATAACTACTTTCATGCTCATCTGTTGTTATCGTAATGCTTGCCTCACCGGGCCTCTTTTCAAAATCAAGTCAAAAAAGGCAAATTTTGCGTCCTACACTTTCAGCAACACCTAATCTTATTTTGTTTAGATCGATATTCTTGTGATGGAGGAAACCATGTATGGAGAGCGATCGTACAGTCAAGCACTTTTTCTCACAGATTTGTACTCAGGCTACACGTTTGCTCGAGCCTTGACTGATAGCCCTGATCTGGCTATAATAGTTCGTCATGTAATGGATATTTTCGGATCATTTGGCCCACCAGGTGAGAACACATCTTTATTCTATCCATTCTGGTCGAGGTAAGACATTTTTTCAGAGGTGTACCGAACATATTCGGCAGAGTACTCGCATATAATAGCAGATGTCATGCTGGATATTGAGAGACTCTTCAAAGTGCCCATAAAAAATATGGGCGTTGGGGTAGGGGTTTTCAGAAGATTCTCGTCTGATTCGTTCGTTTTCTGCCGTAGTTGTGACAGTTGTGGATAAAGCCACTGTTTTTCAGGGAGATTTGACTCGGGAACTCGTCCGATCTCTATATCGACGTGCTCATACTGAATTGATGGCCACTAACCGTTGGGTGGAGGCTCTACCGTTTGCGGTTATCGAGCAAAATCAGCGCCCATCTATCGGTCGACTCTTCGAATCCGGGAACGAGGACACCATTCGAGGTTCAGCCAGATTCCAGTCACATTTTTTTTCTTTTCTTCTCCTGACCTTTCTTTCTTTTTTAAGCTGTGCCCATCAGCACGCGTCCGTGCCATAGAAGAATGTTCTCGTCCGACTAGCCAAGATGGAAATTGTGGGTTGTTTTGTCTGATAACTAGATGTACTGGCGCCAAGATTATGGGGTTTTAGGAAAGAGGGTTACGGGGTGCAGATGTCTCAACCCGAAATTTCTCTAGCTATGAGAATTAGACGACGAGGCGCGGTTATGACGTGTGCCGGCCGTCGCCGGGAGATGGGCGTGTACGCTCGTCGTCTGTCCTCTCCTGCAAGGCGGTCTCTCGTAGGAAGAAGACACGTGGAGTGATTATCAGCACGAGAGCGTTAGACTGAAGGAAGAACAGCGCTTGAGGATTCACTCTCGCTCCCTATTTTGGGCGCGCCGGCGCGCGCGACGGTGGGCGGGTCCGCGGGCGGCGGCGGGTGGGGGCGGCCTGGTCAGTGGCGACTGGAGGTCGTGAATTTAGGTCAACAGGGATTTCTAAGCCAGAAAATAAGGGGAAAGGTGGACGGCTTGAATAACAGGAATGATAGCTCTAGCCACGAAAACTACGCAAAGTGTTAGGTAGGTAGTCCACCCAGGTTATGAGATAAGATAAACGATAAAGTCTTCGCCGTTTAACAATCCCATCGTGGGTTGCGGCACGCATTCTACTTCCATTCAGAGTCGCAGTGGCTCATTGAATGCGATGTGGCCTATACAATGACTTGCGGGCTCAACTTCGGAATACGGACCACCAATAAAGCGGAAGGTTTCCACACAAGTATACGGGGCGGCATGTCCCCAAGGGCCGCGTATCCAAAAAACTCTCGGCACAAATGCTGCTTGTTATTCAGAGTCAGCTAGCTATTGGGAAGTCGCTCATTGCACCAGCAGAAGAAGGAGCTCGCGTGCTTTACGTCAGGCCACAGGAGCAGCAACGACAACAAGAAATCACTGCTGAACTTCGAAGATTCAGTGAAACCCGCATTTCTCGTGGGGTCCCTCCCACCACGAGAGATTGCAAAGATTTCTTTAGAATTTTACCGCTGAGACTGGCTCCATTAGTTGTAACTAATCCCATTTTAATATTATAAAAGTCTTGGATTAGTGTCAACTTGCATGGCAGAACAAAAGTCTTAGTTAACAGATCACCAAAACCCTTCCATTCCCTCCCAGCTTTTGAACAAGCGGACAAATGCGCTGCTTTTCCGTTGCCTATGAATCTGCGAACAACGGCGTTAAAGATGAATGGCATGGTAATGGTTGGTGATTCCTCCAATTATTTTTCAGCAAACCAATTCCACCTCAATGTAATAGAAGCAAGCGAGAAGGGTTGAGTTCGTTCTTACAGTCAAGATCTTGGTTCCAGCTAATCCCTATTTTCTTAACGAACCAGTAGCATCAGAGAGTGACCAGTCACGAGCGACGCACGCGATAATCATGTGAATTGGTGGTTGCGGCGATGGACACCCCTTCTGTCTGCGCTCAAGCCTTTCTAAGCGGAGACGCAGCGTCGACGAGGGTGTGCGAGACGACCGACGACGCGACAAATTGCTGAGTCACCCATTGCCGCGGTTGACAAAAGCCCGTAGACCGCCGGAAAGAGAGACTGTTTACAGTAGCTCCTCACAAATTTGCGCCGGCTGAAATGGAATGTCGGCCTCCCATGCATGCCGCATTAGGGCAGCCAGTTTAGACAGCCCTGTGTTGTACGCTTTCTGCGTAGCTTGGTTGATGTTCTTCATCATTGACTCGAACACGTACTCGCCTAGGAAAGGCGGTAGAGTAAGTTCCATGGTGAGGTCAGGGGCGAGAACGACGCTACTTCCGTTTTCTACTTGCAGCCGTGGTCTGCCTAGGCGTAAACTGAGTAGTGTCGGTATACTTGCCGCTCCTTAGCTTTACGCGCAGTTTGGAGTGTGTCCCACCTCTTTTCTTGAACTTACAATTTAGTAGAAGTACTTAGTGTGTATCGATTGTCGTTAGAAACTGGGCGGACTTATGGTCAGCACAGACCACACACGTTTTCTGTCTGCCGCCTTCTCACTTTTGATAGTACGCCAACGTTATACATTTCAACTCCGGTAGCGCCATCACGTTAACCGAAGGAATTTGGTTGCCCTGATTACGCGCGAACTAGCTGGCGACGTGCCCTCAATGTATAAAATCGCGAATCATGTAGGGGATGTGTGCATGAAGGTCCAGCTATCGCAGCTCTACAGCTTCATTGCCGGGACTTTTTCAAGTGCTGGTTCAGACTTCGCGACGGCAATACTTTGGTCGCGCGTTCGACGCGATCGATGCAGTCGAAAACATGCGCATCGATCGCCTCGAAAGCGCGACCGAAGCGGTGCTACCGCGAAGTCTGAACGGTGCCTAATGCGATGAACCTGTCCACCTCTCACATGGGGCCTTATGCTATCCATCCGAGGATAGATGCCTTCTCTATGAATGCCCCTCGTCTCTGCTTCTGCCTTTCTGCATCATTTTCCCCCTCTCCGTAGCGACATGTAGACATGATGGCCGAGAGAGGAGACATTTATACTCTGCGCTTTACTACATTCATTCAGAGCGGGCGCCAGACGAGTATGGACGCGAGCGCCGAGAGTCAAATAGGAGAGGGGCATCAGTGGAGATGAGTGGAGGGTTACTGGGAATTTCTTTCTTAGAGTGGAAGTGTAGCATGGAGTATAGCATAGTATAGCCCCCGGAATGTCGAATGTAGCTTTGAACACGCCTATTACAGATAATGTTTGCCCGTCACGCATGGAGAGACGAAGCATGTCCACCGTGGGTAGACCCAGCTTCATCAGGTACCATACATAATCATGCTGATTATGTTTTTCTATCATATGTTTTATTGTATTTAATGTGGTACGGTAATGGATTTCTTAAAAGAAGAAATGGAGTTGGATCGATCAAAGCCAGCAAAGAAGGAAAAGAAAGGTTTCTTGGTGAGTAGGATCTTTATCAGAGATTCCCAGTCACTTGCTCTGTACTGTGTAGCTAGGATCCATTGCATTCTTAGTGACTTAAACTTTGCCTCCATTGCATTTTAGTGACTTAAACTTTGCGTTGATCCGCGTTTATACTTTTTACTGCACGCGACACTGCAAAATCAGAGAACTGTGGAACGTGCGCCAAAGGATTACATGCGAATCGATTGACTTCGCCCGCTAACGACTCAAGGAAAATCGAAGGATGAAAGGTTGAAAACGATCGTTCCCATTCTAATCCTTTGGAGCGCATTCTCCTGTTCCTGTCTCTGATTCTCTGTTGACACCAACTATGGATGTGGTTCAGGAAACCTCGTACTCTGGGGATGCCCAGCAAGACAAGGGGGCTTGGTCACTGAAGGGGACGCCGGTGAAC